ATTTGGCAGGTGACAACAAATCAAAACACTATCAACTTTGTGAACAGCGTTCCTTGTATCCATTCACATCATAGAAGTACGTTTTTGAATCAACGAAATTTTGTTTTTCTGAGCGGTTCTATGACACAGGGTGTCTCTGACTTTTGCGAAATTTCGTCTTCATGAATACCTTGAAATCATGAAAATTCCTTGCAGCAAAAATTGAATGGCTTATATTATATTGAAACAAGTTTTAAAGGGCAGGGGGGTCATGTCACGCATGTACAAGATATGGGTCTCGTATAAACAAAGATGGCGACTGTGTCTGCTACCAAGGTTTACCAAGCTTTAGTCAGGTATTTTTTTTTTGGTGATTGGAAAGTTTCAAGTTATATTTCTATAATAAATTTAAATGCAATTTATTATTTTCTGTGTACACAGGGTGAGATTCTCGGTATTACAAGATTTGGACTTGCTAAGATGAAAGAAAGTGTTCTCATGCTGGCTTCTGTAAGTCTTTATCTTATCTGATTGGTCAAAAACTGGATCAGACAGTGGAAGAAGTCTCTAATAAATCTAAATTGAATATTTTTCTATTTTTTTTTGTTAATTTTGAACCAAATAGAAAGTTACTCAAATCTTTGAACAATATTTATATTTTTAATATTCAGTTTGAGAAGACAGCTGATCATCTATTTGACGCAGCATACTATGGACAGAAAGACGCCATCAATGGTAAGATTCTGTTGGTTACAAGAAAGCTGTCACGTTCAGATACTATCAATCATGTTTTTTTTTATTGATAGGAGAGAAAACTAATTACATCTTGGAGTATTTCTGTGTATTTCTGTTTCATGTTTCACACTATTTTTGTTTGAAATATACTTCCTCCAATTTCATCTTTGTTCGAAGCTGATGTTACCACTGATAAAAATCTACTCAAAAAAAACAAAATTAGTCATCACTAAAAATGATTGTTTTTCTCAGAAGATATAATGTAGATATGATTTGCATGATAATAATACTTGCTTTATTTTTACTAGGTGTCAGCGAGTGTATAATCATGGGCATACCAATGACGATTGGAACAGGATTGTTTAAACTTCTTCATAAATATCCTTTTTAGCTGTGTGCCCATTTTTCTTGTTTCTTACTGTTATGACTTTGTGAATAACCTATTCACGTATGAAAAAAAATGTAAATATTATTTTGAGCAATACTACATGTTATCTCTGGTGTTAGCCGCAAATAACCACTTTATCATATGTGCAGCTGTATTTGCATGAAAAGTAGCAATCAACACCTGATAGACCTGCAAAGAGCACAGATCTTCAACCAAAACCCGAGAGACCTGCAGAGAGCACAGATCTTC